CTGCTTCTCCCCTTTGCCAGCGCCGCCCGATCCTGGGCTCCCGGGAAAGGCGGGGTCCTGCCGGCCTGAGGGCAACGGGGTGCTCCCTTCTGGGGGCCTGTGGGCCTGGCACGGGTGGCGGGGCGCACCGCAGCTGCCTCGAAGCCCAGAGCCCAGCAGCCCAGAGCAGGCGTCGGTTGGGTTGCACGGGGCGCATGTGGCTGCGGGAGAGGGCGTGGGTCCCAGGGCAGGGCGGTGGCCTCGCTGCCCAGCGGCCGGCCCCGCCTCATTTCTGAGGCTCGTTTCAGCTAGTCGCCTGCTGCCCCTCAGTGTTCCCTGCCCACTCTCCCGGCTTGCGGCCCTGGCCTGGTGCCACCTGCTGAGACTGAGGCCTCGCGACCCGCTTGGGGCCTGAGGCTGGTCACTGCCTGTGGGCATGTGCGGCAGGTCCGGGCCCTCTTCCCCTATAGCAGCATGCAGGCTGCCTCCCGGCCGCCAACCGAGCTGGGCAGCCCAGTCTACGCGGGCAGAGCGGCAGGGGAGTCCTGTTATGCTCTTTACAGAGTGCTTTATAGTTTTCAAAGTTCAGCTCTTGCATTTATTCGACTCAAATATCCCTAAGGACTTTGTTATTTTGGATGCTTTTGCTCCCATAGCCTCCAACTTTGCTGAAGTCACTAATGGTTTTTTGAGTGTTTTTTATACACAAGATTCTGTCATGTGCAAGTAGGGATGGTTTCACTTTTTCTTTTCCAGTATTAATTTTTAAAAGATTTATTCATTTATGCTTACAGAGCTGGGGCACAGGCCAGAGGTGTGGTCGGTGAGAGGATTCCCCGGAGACAGAGCGGGGAGCAGGACAGGCAGATTGACGAAGTACACTGCTGAGGGGAGCAGCATGAGGGTCAGCAGAGGGCTGCCGCGCCATGTGGGTCACTCCCTGGCCGGGGTTCAAACTCGTGCTGCAGTGGCTTCGCAGAGCTTCATAATGCGGTGCTTTAACCTGTTGCACCACCAGGGAGAGCCCTCCGATATTAATTTTAATTGAGTTATAATTGACAAGTAACATTAGTTTCAGGCATACCACATAACATTCAATTTTTGCTTCTATTGCAAAACGGTCACCCCAATAAATGTAGTGAACATGTCATCATGCACAGTTACAAGATTCCTGTTGTGAGAACTTTTCCTATTTACTCTTAGCTGCTTTCAAAGGTGCAATACATTATTTTTATATAGTCACATACGATCCCCAGGATTTATTTCGTAACTGTAAGTTTATACCATTTTTAGATGCTACAAAGGAGTGAGGTCAACAATATTTATCTCCTGTTACATTTAGTCCTCTTAGCACAATGCCCTCAAGGTCCAGCCATGTGTCGCAGCTGGCATTATCTCCTCTTTATGACTGATCAGCACCCCACTTTCTACATATGTCACGCACTGCAGGAGACAGCTCAACCGCGGGTCACATGCCAAACGGCGGTCCCCACACAGCCCAGACCGTCTGGTCTGTGGAATTGCACCTGAGCGCTGCCCCAGCACACCTGCACCCCCACATCCTTCATGTTGGTTCAGACCATAGACACTCTGAGGAGACATGCACTTGGGCTCCTTGTGCTCTTGACCTGTGTCTCCCTCCTGCACTTCCTGGCCACCCACACGCTTCTCTGGCAACGAGGCCTGCCCAGTTTTCATCAGATCCGTTTTTCCTGACTCGTGTGAGTTCTTTACAGATTTGGCTATGAGTCCCTTATCAAACTGTGGTGATTTACAAATATCTTCTCCCGTTTGGGATGCGCCTCTTCATTTTGCTGACGGTTTCTGTTGTGTCAAAGCTATTAGTGTGAGGTAGTCCCACTTGCTTATTTTGCTTTTGGAAAGATGCAAAACTCAACACAGGGACGACGCCAAGGAACGCACGTCCACCTTCTATCCAGATCGGATTATGTCACATGCAAGCAGAGGGTTTTAGTTCTTCCTCCCCCATCTGGGTGCCTGTTATTGCATGGTAGCTAAGTTCCCTGGCCTTAGCCTCCAGAATACCATTTACCAGAAGTGGTGAGAGCCAGCAGCCCTGACTAGTTCCTAGTATTAACGAAAAAACTTGTAGTTTTCCACAATTAAGTATGAGATGAATATGGGTTTCCCGAAGTGGCTGGTGTCAGATTGCAGATTTCCTCGACTTGTAGAAGGGCTGTATTTTTCTGTAAGATTTAATTTATTCATACAGAACTGGGGTACAGGCCAGAGGCACAGATGTGGTGACAGGATTCAGCAGAGACAGAGTGGGGAGCAGAACAGGCAGATCGAGGAAGTCCACTGCTGAGGGGAGCAGCGGGCGGGTCAGGAGAGGTCTGCCGCGCCATGGGGTCACCTCCGGGGCAGGGATCAAACTCATGCTGAAGTGGCTGTAGTTTCTCAGTGCTGTGCTTTAACCTGCTGTGCCACCAGGGAGGGCCCTATTTTTCTATTTTTAATCAAGACATGACATTGGATGTTGTCGGATGATTTTCTGCATCTACTAAGATGCCAGTACACCCTTTTCCCATACTCGATTAATAAGGTGCTAGTATTAATTCAAGTTTGTATGTTGAATCAACTTTCTATTTTGTGCAGAGTGTGGCAAGGGGCCTGCTCTGCTCCTCCAGGGGGTCGCACAGGGATGAGGCCGCGTCCTGGGCAGCATCCCACAGACACCGGGCCTGCGGCTCTGGTCTCACCCGTCGCATCTTAGGTCTGCCAAGAGCGCTCAGGAATGCACAGGTTGGGGGATCATTAAAAAGCCACCGCACTCTAAGGAGATGCAGGGGGTGTCTGGGTGTGGTCAGGTCTATTTAAGCTCTTGTTCATCAGCCTGGTAACAGCAGACACAGCTGAGTTCTGTTCTGTCCTGTGCCATCCCATTTTTGCCCTGGGACCCTTCCTGTCAAGTGGGGAGCACCAGCGCAAGGGGCCTTGGCCTCTGCTCGGGGTCTGAGGGAGAGGCTTGCCCTTGAGCCAAGGGAGCCCCAGCCTGGCGGAGTGGTCCGCTTAGGCAGGAAGACCATATAAGGGTCCTGGGGTTGCAGTCTCCTTTTGGGTCACAGTTAAATACTCATACACTGGATCACGCTCACACATGTAGACGCTGAATGAGGGAGACACAAGGCGCCCAGGTTCTGGCCAGCATCAGCCCTCTTCCCCCCTGCCCCTTTTATCCTGCCCGCCGAGGGGCTGCTGGAAGTGGCTAGACCAGGGAGAAATCAGTCCCACTGGGGCCTCCCCCAGGGCTGGCATAGCCCAAGATGGCAGAACCTCTGCCACACTAGACCAGTCCAGTGCCAACTGTGCCGCTCTGACACCCTCCCCGCACACCAGACTCAGTGCAAACACAAGATGAATTTATTGAACAAAAACATGTACTAGAACAGTTTAGTGAACATTTTCTAGAAACTAGGGAGGGAATTAAACAATTTCTAAGGACCAAGAGAGTCCCCAGGGTGCCCCATGTCCTCCTGAGTCCCCAAAGGGGTGGTTGGGCCCCCCTCCCGCATGGGCCTCCACCGCAGTCTCCTTTTCCATGGTCCAGCCTCAGCCTCCTGCCAGGATGGTCCACACTGGGGCCCTGCCCAGGGCCCCCACGGGACAGTCAGTGTGTGAGGGCAGCAAGCACAGCGGGACACCGGACCGGGCCGGGAAACCACGTCACTCACTGGGGGGCGGCGGTGCGGAGCCAGGTCCCTTCCGGGCGTGTCAGGTCCTCTTCCTCCCCGCGCTCGGCCTGGCGTCGGCCCCTCCCGTCACGCCTCCTTCCGTGAGCCAGGCCGTGGAGCTGCCGGGATGCGCACCTGCCTCTCCAGCGGGACGAGCCGCGCCTGCCTGGCCTGAGTCTGCACCGGGGCGGCGGGGGTCGTGCTCGGGACCGGGCAAGAGCTGGGCCCTGGCAGGCACTGAGGTTCCCAGCCCGGGCCCGGATCCGGGTTGGCGGCCTCTGCACCGGGACCGTGTGTGCGTGGGCGGGCTTCCGTAACACCCTGGGTCTCCGGGGGCCCAGAGTCACAGCCGGGCCTCCCAGACGGGGAGCCGCCTGCCCCCGGGGACTGCAGAGCCCCAGACAGCTGCTCATGGGTACTTCCCAGCCAGTCGCTGGAGAAATTTGGGGGTTACCTTTGGCTTAGCAGCTCTGAGTGTAGTTGACCCCCTGCCTCTCCAGGTCTCATGGTCCTGTAGAACTGGTACAACCCCCCCCCCCATTCTCCCTCCTCCTCCTCTTTTCTCTCCTCTGGATCAAGGCTCCCTGCCTACTTATGGCAAGGCCCACCAGGTATCCCATCCCCCAGGCTGAGCCCTTCACATGAATGGCTGTTCCCCTCGCCCCCTAGCATTGCTGGCCGCAGGAGACATTTGCCCATAAGCTGGCATGGGCTCCCAGGGCCTCTGGTGCTCCTGGCATTATTCGCGCAGGGGCTCAAGGATGCTCCCTTCCTGGGGCTCCCCTAGAGCGGTATAGATGATTCTAAAGACAGGCTGAATCCTACGGGTCCCCCTCCGGGGCGTGACCTCCATGCCGCGCCGCTCTGCCTGGCTGGTTCTGGTTCTTCTGCACAGAGGCGTTTCTGGAAACAGCCTGTCAGGACCGCACACGGCCTCTGGGCCCAGAGGCATCCCTAGCTCAGAACCCACAGAGTGGGCATTTAGGGGTGGCCAGAAGACCAGGCTCATGCCCAGGCCGAAGTTGTCGTCAGCTGCACCCTCTGCCATGCTGGAGACCCGGCCGGAGTCTCCAGAGCTCCATGCTCTGAAGGTGGTGGCCCCCTGCCTGAATGGCTGGCCCCTCTCGGAGTCCCACGAGGCTTGGGGGATAAATTCCCTTCCATCCAGAGGCGGAATCAGGGACTCCACCCAGGCCTGGTTTCCCTGCCAGTCCTCTGGCCCTCCCAAGTCCCCTGCTGTTTGTGGGGACTCCTCCCTCTCCTGCTTAATCTCTCTCTGCAGTGTGCTGGGAGAAGGGGTTGCTAAATCTTTTGAGCCTATGCTTTTCAGGGCTCGGGGTGGCTCATCGCCCCAGCCCCCAACTCGTTTCCCGACTCCTCTACTGCAAGTTGAGGCCTCTGCTCGGCCAGAGGTGGGTTCTCGGCCATGGGGCACAGTGCCTGGTTGTCTTCCTCCCCGCCACTGCAGGAGCTGGGCAGCCGCCTGCGCTTCCACGACAGCCCCAAGCCTTCCTGGGCTGTCTGGGTGCTGCTGTCCTGGAACAGCCCCCTGGCCACAGCCGCCTGCAGGGGCAGGCCGTTCTCCTCCCCCGCCTGCCGGCCAGAGGCCCTGCGGCCCCTGCCCACCTGCCGCTGCTTCTCCCTGGTCACTGCCAAGGAGGTCTCCCACTCCTCCTCATCGCGAATGAGCTTCATCAGCTCCAGGAAGGTGGGCGGACACCCTCTGCGGTCCAGCAGCTCGAGCTTGCCGCGGAGTGCGGGGGTCACGGCTGCCCGGGCCAGCACTTGCTTCAGCCGGATGGTGTCGGCGTTGCGCGCCGACACCGGGCTGTTCTTTACTGCCTTCTGCAGCAAGGGCTCCAGGCGGAGCAAGAAAGCCGAATTTTTCTCTCCAGCCTCGGGAAAGGTCTGGAGGAACTTAACCTGAGAGGTTCGACAGTCCTCTTTGCTCCCGAAGATCTGCTTCAGGGCATCCAGGCACTGCTCCACAGTGGTGGCCTCGCCACTGGCCCGCAGCACGCGCATGATGGCCAGGGCCGGCCCGCGCAGGCCCTCCAGCAGACGCCGCCTCTTCTCGGCCTCGGGCACGTGCCACAGCGCCATCACCTCGGTGATCTGCTCCAGCCACCCCTCAAAGTGCTCCTCCTCCGAGGCCGGGGCACTACTGCCCGAAAACACTTTCAGTTTCCGGTACCACGCGTTCTCCCTCAGCGGTGGCAGCATGGGGCCCCCGACCAGGCCCAAGCCCTCGGCCTCCATGCCCGCCCCCAGCGCGCCGCAGCCCAGGGTGATGGCCAGGTCCGCCATCCGGCGGCCCTCCTCTTTCAGGAAGTAGTTGAGCCTATTGATAAATTCGTCATCTGGGTTCCGCGGCTTCACCACCACTTCCCAGGGCCCCCCCTTGCCTGGTATATGACTGGGCACGGTGGTGTAATCGATCACGTCGGCCAACTCGATAAAGACCACCTTGGTGTTTTGTTCCCTTCTGAACATCCTGCCCTGCACCCTGTGGGCACCGAGCGGGTGCAGACCTGCCCTCACGGTCTCTCTGATCTCAGCCTCGCTACACTCCACCGGGATCCCCACAATCAGCAGGGCTTTCCTGGGGTCCAGGTCCATCCCCTTGCACCAATCCTCTAGCAGTACCACAGCCATAGCTCCCCCTTGTCAGAGCTGATCTAAGGCCTGGAATGGGGCGGGGTCAGCCCAGAGTTTGAGCAGGACTTGAAGAACTGGGAGGCAACGCCGAGGACAAAGGCGGAAGCGCCCCAGGTCTCCAGAGCCTGTAATGCAAATAGGGTGAAAGCATCATGAACGCCTGTCCCCAGCCCCAAGAGCCCCCCTCTGTCCCCATCTCTGCTCCCAGTCCCTGCGCCCCGGGGCTCCCAATCATTTGGCGCACAGAGCATGGTCCCATCCCCCCGTCCATGCTCCCAGCCTGACCCCGTCCTTGCTGACCTTCTGTTGCGGGGGGGTCCTCCTCGAAGTCCGAGGGCTCTATGGTGAGCTGTGGGTGCCTGTGGGGGAAAGGCCGGTCAGGTGTGCGGTCTTGCGCCAGGGGTAGGGGGACACTGACAAAGACCCCAGGCTGGGGGGGGGCAAACCCCCAGCTCGGGGTAGTGTCGGCCCAGGGCACTGAGAAAGTGTTAGATGGGACAGAGGTTGGAGGGAGGAGACGTACAGCTCCCCCTCCTCAGAAAATGCCTGACGGATAAGAAAGATGGCCGCAGTGCTGCGCAGTGCAGTGGAAATGGGTGTGGAGAGCTTGTGACAAGCTGCAGTGTTGCCATAGATACCAAGAATAGCGTGGACCATGGGTTCCTATAGCAGAGGGGTGTCATGTGGTGAGGCTAAGGCCCTGAAGGAGCAACAGGTGATGCCACTGCCTTCTAACCGATGAGGCTTCCTAGCAACAAGAAGCGGAGGGGGAGGTGGGCAGCAAGGATCCAGGGCTGGCAAACAAGAGCTTATATTTTCAAATCATGTGGAGGCTGGCCTAAGGGGCAGCCCAGGAGCCCCGCGGGATATGTGGTGCTCCACTGCAAGAGACAGGCCACTCTGATCTGGAGCAGCTAGCTGCTACCCTGCAGAGCCTTCAAGATCTGTAAACTTCCGCAAGCAGCCCCTCCCCTTCCGCTCTTCGCCAGGACCAGAGGCTCCTGCTAGGATAGGCCTGCTGTTCACCCCGCAGGACAGGGCCCCACTGGCACACAAGGCTCGCTCTGTCCACAGTCAAGCAAGCGTGACCCTGGAGTGGCCCATCCTGTGTTAACGGGTCTGTCCAGGGCGTGGCTGAGGTATTTTGCCAGAGTTGTGCCCCTGGTCCTGCTCAGGCTGTGCACAGGAGCCCACAACGTGGTGCAGAGGGCGAAGGAACTGCTAAACCAGGCCCCAGGGCTAGAGCAGAAAGACATTCTCTTGGCAAAACAAAACCCTGTTTTTCCTTTTACTGTTTCTGAGAAGATGGACATTGCCTAAACCTATGAGGGTCATCATATAAATCAGGCCATCAACTTATAGAGGGATGTATAGCCACTATTTCTTAATAAAATCGGGGAAATTGTTTTTAAAGTTAAACCTCAATGAGGAATAATATAATTTGAAACAGTTAAAAATACACCACCCTTGCAAAGAGCCTGCACCTCACTGACAAGTGCAACCCTCCAGAAAGCACACCCTCTTCCCAAAGCCCCACCCCTCCTGAGCCGTAGCCCCACCCAAACCCCGCCCACACCAGTCCCCTCCTCCCAGAGCCCCACCCAACCCAGCTCCGCCCACACCAGCCCCCCCCCAAAGCTGCACCTCCCCCGTGCCCCGCCCCTCGGTAAGCTCAGCCTCCATGCCAGTGCTCAGTCGCCCGCCCTTACCCAGCCCCTCCTCCACTGCAGCCCAAGTCTGGGCGCCAATCCCCCGAGCGCACAGAATCGAATCCTGATGCCGCCGGCCGCGCTATCCCATTTCCATCCGCTTCTCGAGTCCCATCCCCCACGCAAGCCTCCTGGCCAGCCAGGCCCTGGCCCCCGTGAGTGGCTCGGTGTCAGATGCCTCCCAAATCCCGCGCCCATTCAAAGCCCTGCCGCCCCATGCGCAGCTCCTCCTGTGTCCCAACGCCTCCCTGGCGACCATTACGCACACCCTGAGCACCCTAAGCGCCCCACCCGTGTACACGCCGTGTAGAAATGCATGTATCCAGCCAGTAGGAATTCGCCGCGGTCCGGAGGGGCAAAGCCCAAACCACCTGCTCTCTGGAAGTCCGAGAGCCGCTGTCCAGACTTAGCATGGGCTCTCCTGCAGTTCCCAGGATGGTAAGGGGCCCCCGGGGTGCCAGGCCTCAACTAGTGGGGTCACACTCCCAGCCGAACGCAAAGGTCACCACGGGGCTGCCCTGTGGTGTGGGTGGCGGGTACCCCGGGCCCCATGCTGTACCTGCTGCAGAGGCTGCTAGGCCGGAACGCCAAGCACCTGGAACACCAGACGTCCGTCGCCGCCGATGCCGCGGTGCAGACTGAGCGGGAGCTGGCGCGAGAAGAGGATGCTGGGAAGGGGTTCCGACCCCCCACGGAGCTGCACACCGCCCGTTTGCGGCTGCGCTCTAGACGCCTCGTGTGGCGTTCACCCCTCCCCCACCCCCCAAGACTGGCGTCTCCTCACCCCTCCTCCTGCCCAGCCCGCCAAGTGCCCGCACACCCAGCAGCCAGCGGGGCATGGGTGTACATCTCACTCCCCCATTGGCTGGCTGCTCGCTTTTATTTGAATGTCCTGCACAGTCACATTGCACCAAACCGTGTGCAGAAGCACCCCCCACTTGTTCCAATCCCCTCAACCTTTAGTTTGTATCCAACTGCGGGGCACACACACGCTCAGCTTCCAGCCGTTTCGCTAGGCCATGACAACGTAGACGACTCACCAAGCAACGGCATCTGCCGAAGGGACCCCAGGCTCATTATTTTAACTCCATGGCCCGCGTTACCCACTTAGCACCCACACTGCTTCCCATCCCTTGGCAAAGCGCGTTTGCTCCCCGGAGGGTAGTCCCGATGTTTCCCGAGGGGTCCCCACTGCTACAGACGGTGCCAGACGGGGCGGGGGTGGGGTGACGCACAGACATCCTGAGGCGTCATGATGGGCAACGCAGGGTCGGAGCAAGAAGTTTCCTACCTGTGGGGTGGTCAGGGGTGCACACACTCGCCCCCCTACTTAATCGGGGTCTTAGCTCGATTGCCTCTCCGTACTAAGGAGCCGCAGCGGGACTGGGCCGCGCCGCCACGCCGCGGGCTCGCCCCACATCAGTGCCCGCTGCGACTTCGCCGCCACCCGCCCACCTCTCGCTCGAGCTTCTCCTACGAGCCGAGACGGATGGCGCTTCACTGCGAGGCCTTCCGTTGAAAACTGGAACATGATTAAGGATCGTGACAAAGCTCGATTGAACGTGCGTCCTCTCAACGTGGAAAACACGGAAGGTTAAGAAATGCCCCTGAAACAGGGAAGGTTTTATGGCCTGCGCTTCTGCTCCAGTCCATCTTCCTTTACCTCGTGCGGCCATCACCACACTGCGGGAAACGTCCGTCATCACACACAACTTAGAAGTCCAGTCTGTGCAGCACTCTGCTGCCCGGGTCGGAAAGTCAGCTGTCCGCAGTGCTTACAGTGGAGAAGTATGATCGTGCTTTTCTTTCGTTCGTTTTGTTCTTCAAGATTTATTCATGCATACAGAACTACAGAACTGCGGTGCAGGCCAGCAGTGCCTGCCGTGAGAGGGCTCCCCAGAGCCAGAGTGGGGAGCAGGACAGGCTGACGGTGGAAGTACCCTGCTGAGGGGGCAGTGAGGAGACAGGAGAGGTCTGCCGCGCCCTGGGGGTCAGCTGGCTTTAGCCCTTTGTGCCGGCTCGGGAGAGCCCTGATAGTGCTTTTCTTTGTCTAGCATCCGCCCATCTTTAGATCAGGACAAGTGAAGACTACAAGCTCCGCCTCGGAGAGGAATTACGCCTCCTGTCAAGTCGCCTGTTCCACTACATTCAAACCTGTGTTTACTGGCACAGCTCTCACAGGGGAGAATCTGTTGGACAGCTTCCAAGCTTTCAATCCCTACTTAATAAAGCAAGCATTAATCAAACTAATGAAAAATCAATTGAGAAAATCTTTGTGTATCATGGAGACTATTTTCAGGTAACATAGCAAACAAATTCCGTGTGTTTGAAACTGGTGCCATTTCGGCCTTCTGTTTATCTTGCCAGGATGGCAGGCTTCTGACGTGAAGCAAGGGGGAAAGTGGCTACCTCTTTATATGAGGAAAAAACCCTTTTTCATAGGCTGATAAGTGTGTTTTGGGGTGCAGGCCCTGAGGGGTGTCCTCTGTCCTTTACGTAACCTGTCATTGCCAGCTGAAAACAGCCACAGAAGATGGAACCAAGAGGTGCAGCTCGTGGCTACATCACACGGACCACATTCAGCAGCGGGGCTAGGGGGCTTCCATTTATTGCTGCTCTGGACCCAGCTTGGAGTCTGTGCGTCTCGTCAGAAAGGAGCGCTCAGACACTCCCCTCACGCATTCTACAATTTTCCTTCATTCTCAGCCTCACCCCCCAAATCAGTACAAACCCTAATCTCTCCATCATGCCCAGGACGTGGGTCGATTGGCAGGGTGGCCCTCCATGCCTGAGCTCTGCGGCCTTCAGTGCAGCTTCCGCAGCTGCATCCCGCCCGGGCGGCCACAGCCCCTCCCCTTCTGTTGGGCTCATAGGTCCCTGGCAGACATGTTAGGCTTGGAGGCGCTGTTCTTGGGGGGTGTAAGGAACTGTGGGGCTCCGCTTTTAGTTTTACCTTATGGTTTGGGGACCTGCATGTGCGTTTATTCTGCAGATGTCTTTCTTGCCATGGCAACTCTAGGTCAGTTGCAACCTGTTAGGCCGCTTCTTCCCCACCTGGCAGCCTTGGAGAGACTGCCCACGGGTAGGGGAAGGGGGGATCTGGCACCCCACTGCCTCGTCCGAGTGACCGCCTGGGGAGATTTAGCTCGAGGTTCCACAAGTGGGTTCCTGCAGCCCAAAGATGCTCCAGCCCCCCTTGAAGCCGCTTCACTTAAAAAGTACTAGTAACAACTAACACTTGACTATAGAGATTGTGATGAAATGTGAAAATGTTTATAAAGGTGATATAAAGCGGGGAGTTTTTTTAAAGATTTATTTATGCATACAGAATTCGGGTACAGCCAGAGGTGCAGGTGCAGTGAGAGGGTTCCCCAGAGACAGAGCGGGGAGCAGGGCAGGCAGATGGACGAAGTCCACTGCTGAGGGGAGCAGCGGGCGGGCCAGGAGAGGTCTGCGGCGCCCTGGGGGTTCCCTCCGGGGCAGGCGGGGATCGAACTCATGCTGCAGTGGCTTTAGCTTCTCAGCGCTGTGCTGTGACCCGCTGCGCCCCCCGGGAGGGCCCTGAGTGGGAATTTTAAAAGAAGACTGGCGGCTTGTTAGCTGGGGCGGGATGCTGGGGGCAGGGCTAGTGCTGTGGTGCGTGTGGAGTCAATGCGAGCACTGGACTTTTTTCTTGCGAGACTGTATAAGACAAGAACGCCTAGTAGCAGCCTTTGAGGCCAAGCGCATGGGAGGACAGACACTCCTGACATCTCTTTTTGAAGATTTATTTATGCACACAAGAACTGGGGTACAGGCCAGAGGTGCGGGGACAAGAGAACTCAGCAGACAGTGGGAGCAGAATAGACGGCTCAACCAAAACGCATGGCTCAGGGGAGCAGCAGGGAGACAGAAGGGGTCTGCTGAGCCATGTGGGTCACCCCTGGCTGGGGATGGGGATCCAACTTGTGCTTCAGTGGCTGAGGACAGCCTCACAGCACTGTGGCTTCACCCCTTGCGCCACCAGGGAGGGCACCTGAAATCTCTGTGAGGGAATTAACCTTGTATCCTGTAAGAACCAATTGTCGAGATGCATTTAAAACACCTGCCTCATTTATGAGGCCAAGTCTGTTTGAAATGATTCCTCCAAGCTCCCTCTCACCTCCAGGCCCTTGCTGGGCTGCCAAGATGGGGTCGCTTAGAGTGGACAGACCCGTGTTGAAGTGGGAGGCTGGGTACTCCTCCCCTCCCCTCCTTCTGCCCTGCCCAGCCACTCCACAGAGTGGGGCATCAAGGGGGGTGTATGCCAGTCTGGAGCAGAGCGTGGCTGGGCAGCGAAGAGCAGGTGCCCAGGAGCAGCGTCTACTTCCTACAAAGGACCTGGTCCCCGAGTATGGATTCCAGCTGTTCTTCCAGCCCTGTGGCCCCTGAGGTTTCTCTGAGTGCCAGCCTGTACCTCTCTCGCTGACTTGGAAGGACTGGGCCTGCACCAGCTTCCTGGAAAGGGGAGAGGCAGCAGGATGTGGTCCCTGCGGCCAAGAGGCTCGGAAGGCCTCCTTCATGCTCAGCAGCTCCCAGCACCCCTCCCCTAGCACCCAGCTTGGAAGGGCTCAGGAGAGACGAGCAGTTTGGAGGTCCCCGAGGTCACCTCAGCAGTTGTGCCCTTGGCGCAGCTCCCGGCCGCGGAGCCCCCACACCATGGGAAGATGGGAAGGGAGGCCAGGCCCGAATGGCCAGCAGCCCGGGCCTCTGCATGGCACCGGCAGGGCAGTCAGCGGTCAGCTGAGTAACTCTCCACCGTCAAGGTGCCAGCGACCCAGGTCCTGCACCCCCTACCCCTGCACCCAGAACTTCCACAACAAGAGCAGTGTGTCTCCAGGAGGCTGAGGGGCCTGCTGCGGCCCTGCAATCGGAGCCTACTTCCACCGCACCCCAGCCCAGCACCTCAGCACTGGGGTGGCTGAGCCGGGGCTGGCGCCCACCCTGTTTTTCTTAGAGTCTTTGTGCCACACCACACCAGCAAAGGAGCCCCAGGAATGCCCGGGTGGGGGCACTGCTGTCTTCCTTTCCTAGTGTCACCCAGGTGACCGAGATGTGGCGGGGTCGGGGTGAGCAAATAGAGAGGTGCTGGTCCAGTAGCTAACTGAATGCAGACCCCTGGAGTATGGGGGTTCTGGCAGGCAGGGCTTCACTCTGTGGGCTTCCTGGTCACCCGTGTTTTTGTCCCTGAAGCAGATGAAGGTTTCAGCAAGCCGGCACACACACCGTATTTCTGGATGCAAAACTTGGCAGCATGGGCCGCTTCTGCCACACAGTGCCAACAGGACTCAGACAGCCTGGCACACTGACCTTACTGAGCACCATGAAACAGTCTCGCACACGGGCACCACCTGGGCAACTTTGAGGAGGGCGGCTGAGGCTGGGCGTGAGCAGTTCAAAGTCGGTCCAAGACGAGTTGGTCTTGGGGTGTCTGGGCGCGACGGAGAGCGAAGCGGACAGGCACCGCATCTGCTCGGCGGCCCGAGGAGTGGAGCGGGTAGCCGGCAGGGGGGGCGGTTCAGGGGAGCGAGTCTGCGCTTGCTGAAGCGCATCGGCTGGGCGCGCGCTTCCTGAAACCGGCCTGTCACTGCCAACAGCCAGCACCGGCGAGGCGGCGTCTGTCTGTGACACCAACGAGGGCTGTGGCCCAGGACAAGCCAACATCCAAGCGGTCTGACGGGCCTAGCGGCCGGCCCTTCTGGGGGAGTCTACTGGGGGAATCTACACGTCATGCTAATTTCTCCCGCTGTAGACTTAATACTTCTGGAAGTGTTTATTCGCTTTTGTAGAAAATAGCTTCAGGTGAAGGAGAAAACAGATCACATGGCCCAGTACCCCCAGGTTATCACAGGTATAAGGAAACCTGAGCAGCGACACACATGAAATCTTGGCGTTGTGTTAGAGGTGTAGACTTTAATGCGGGCAACAAGTATGGTTAAAATACCGGCAGTTAAAAAGAAGCAAAGTGTCATGCAACCGCCATCTTGTCTGCAGAACTCGGTGCTCTCTAAGCTCGAAAGAAGCTGCTCGGAACAAACTCGATGTTGGGCCTGTGCTCTCTGCTGGCGTCTCGCATGGCAGGGCCGAACTCCCTGAACACAGAGTAGAAGGTGGGGCAGGGAGGCCGGCGCGGCGGGACTGTCTGCCCTTCACTCCATCAGCTGGGCCTGTGCGACACTCAGGTGGTAGCTCCCGCCCCGAGACTCTCTTTCCCTTTCACGCCTCCCTGCCCTGAGCGGCCTCTCCTCGGAGCCTACCGCGCGCCAAGCCGCGTGTACGGGCCAGACCCAAGGAAGGCCAGCTCACGTCCAGTGTCAGCACATGGCCTGTCGTACCACATCCCCGCCCTGGTGACCATGCCTGGCGTGGGGTAAGGCCGTGGCGTTAGCTGCTTCTCTCCGTCGTCCGGCTGGAGTCCACATACCCTAGAACCTGCTTGAGGGGTCTCCAGATCAAGTGCAGGGGTCAGGGACTGAGGGCAACATGTTAACCAGCTGTCAAATTGCAGACACAGACCAGCCTTTGGTCAGTAACCGCCTAAGAATCGTGTGGAGAGACCAGAAGCCCGCGCGTGTAACTTTCCAGTACACGCCAGCGCCTCAGGGAAAGCCCGTTGCAGTGAAGGCGGCGACAGCACGGACTGTTACTGCACCTGTGAAAATCAGCTGACTGTTTCCTGCACTCCAAACAGGCACCCAGGAGGCAGGTCCTGCCCCCGGCGTCACAGCCCTCCACCTGGCCCCCTGAAGCCACAGGTCTCCCCTCAAATTCCAAACATGCGCTCAGAGATGCAGAAAAGAAGGTGGGGTGCTCTCTGCCCTGAGTCAGGGCACCGTGAGCCCCCAGTTCTTTCCACGCCGAACAGCAGGCCACCTCGACTGGGGCGTGTGTCCTCGAGACGCCAGGCTGGGCTCCTGCTCAGTCCTCTTTACTGCAACCGCGGTCAGCGAACAAGTGCTTTCTAAGCTAAGAAGAGCTACCCGGGCACCATCACTCAGACCTGCTCCTGGGCCTAAGCAGGTTCAACTCGACAAGGGCAAAGCATGAAGAAATCAGATGGGGAGGGAGGGCGCGCGGGAAGGAGACCAGCAGCCTGGGGAGCGCGTCTGGGAGTCGCCAGCTTCTTCTGGGCCGGAGGCACCTAAAGGAAAACACACACGCTGAGGCGGGGCCCAGCCCACAGCCAGCCTGCGGCAACAGCGGCTTCTTCCAGACAGAAAGCGGACGCGCCTGCACTGGTGGGCGCCTGTCTGCGCCCAGGCCCGCTGCGCTCAGGGGGCACTCTGCTCGGGGCTGCAGCTGAGGGCTGCTGGGGCGGAGCAGAGCGGCTGCCAGGACCCGGAAAGCCGGTGTTCGAGGGGCTCTCTGCTCTGCTGAGGCGTGGCCCGGAGGGTGCCCCCGCCCCCCGTGCCCGCTGTTGGCACCAGCTGCTCTTGCTTCCCTCAACAGCCTGCCCCCTGCCAAGCCCTGCCCGCTACTAGCTGACTTTCCTCCAGGCCCTTCTCCCGTGCAAGTGCTGCTTGCCCGAAGCTTCCAGTAGCCCTGAGTAGGGTGTTTCTGCTCCTCACGCAGGCCTCAGGCCCCACAGGGCCAGGGAAGCAGAGTCAGGCGCTGGGTCGTACGGCTGGGAGCGACGGCAGTGTCCTGGACCCGGACGGGGGAGGCAATGCGCTGCCTGGCCGCTCAGCCGCTCAGCCCGGGGCCGTACGCACCTAGAAGAGCTTCTCGTAGCACTTCCCACAGCGGATGGTGTCGCGGTGCACGAAGATCTGGTCCAGGAGCTCGCCCATGGGTTTACTGCAGATGCCGCACTGCAAGAGAAAGCAGGTGGCGCCGACGCCGGGGCCTGCACGGGGCCAGGCAGAGGCCGCTGGCGACGAGGCCCGGCTTGGAAGCGACAATAAAAAGTGGCAGAAAAGAGACAAAAGACCAACACCAACGAAGCCTCGGTCTTGCCAACTTCACTGGCAACGTCTGCACCCGTGGAGCGCAAGGGTGCTCCGTGCCAGCCTCGAGAGGGCCCACTGGCCCGCACTCCTCTTGGGCCCACCCACCCAGGCCCTCGCCGGGACTGCCGCATGCTCTCCTCCTCTCCTCGAACACCCACACCCCCCTCAGTGCAGACAATGAGGGCTTTAGTGGCTGGACAACGAAGGCCACGCAGCTGGGCCCCGCCCCGCCCAGGACGCCCCTCTGTTCCTGCTTCTTCCTCAGAAAGAAGCCACGGAGGAGGCTCCTCATCCGGCCACCCCAACGGGAGCTGCCTCGGCTGTCCCCGCCAGCTGGGCCACCCCGGGTCGCCACATGCGGCCCCACAGCCGCTGCTCCTCCCACACCACCACGGGCCGTGCGCAAGCCCGGGCTGCCAGCTCTGCACCCCACGGAGCCCAGACTCCAGCCTTCCGGACTGGCTCGCCCAGAGCCCTGCCCGGCAGGTCTCAGCCCCGCCGCTGCAGCAACACTCCACTTCCTGGCGCTTCACCGGCCACCAAGTCTCAAACGGCCGGGTCCAGGCGCCCGTCCGAGGCAGCCTTGTTTCCTCCGTCCCCCTGGGACGTGCGCCCAGTGCTGCTCCCCTCCAGCCCCTGCCAGAGCCGACGGGGCAGGGAGAGGCAGCGCTGCCCTGGGCCCCCAACTGGGAACCCCCCCCGGCCCCCCGTGGTCTCACACCCCACTACTGCTCAGCTCTTTCAAGCGGTGTCGCCAGCCCAGAAGCCATCTCCACCCGCGCCCTGGTCAAGCTCCCGCTTCTGCGAAGCCGCTAAGCGCAGGTGCGATCAGAGACCAGGTCTCTCCCCCTCTGCACCTTCGCGCTCAGGATGATGCCGCAGGCGCGCGCCTCCTCACCTTGAAGCAGTAGTCGTGGCAGCTGATGCCAAGGTGGTCTAGGGTGATCTTCGGGCCGTCCCGGATCTCCCGGCTGCAGTATGTGCACAGCCCTGCGGCAGCGCTGTGAGACAGAAGCAGGCCGCGGTCAGGCAGGGAGCCGAGGCTCAGCGCCGCCTTGCCCCTGCTGCAGCCTCCCAGTGGTCTCCAGCCTCATGCTGCGCATGCCCTGGGGCGACACTTCCCCCCAGGGCCTCTCCCTGCCCAGCCCGCCTGCGGACCTGCTCCTCCTCGCTAGGGGAAGCGCAGCTGTCTTGTCCTGAAGGAGACACCGGCGCCCTGTGGCCGCCGTCATGGCCCTTCCCGGCATGCTTGCCGTAACCAGGTCCCGCCCAGCCCCTCCCCACCCTCCCCCTGCACTCAGCAGTCTGCGCAGGAACCCCAGGGCCTGGCACGACGGAGCCTGGGCTCTTGACATGAAGCTCTAGCTGCTGGCATCCGGGTTGAGGCCACCACACTTTCAGGACCCCAGCCTCGCTCCTGAGCGGGAGCTTTCCTTCCTCAGAGAGAGGCTGCTGAAAGGCCCTGCCTGCCTCGTCCTACAGGCTGAAAGTGGGGTGCCTCCTTCAAAGAGGCGGGGCGTTTCTCACAGGAGCGGGGCGTCCTAGCCAGCTGCAGCCACACTGGCTCCCTCCTGGGCCTGTATCGCCGCAGGCATTCGATTTCCCTCCGTGCTGCCACCGGCCCAGGCTCCGAGCCCATGTGCTGCTGAACGTGCGTGCGCCGGGCCTCCTCTGCGCGCCAGCCCAGCCCCAGCTTCCTCTGCTGCGCACACACGTCTCTGCGCACGGCGCGTGCCCTGGCCAGCTGTCCCTTCCTTCCGCTAAGTCCCGCACCTTGCGCCACGCTGCCTTCTGGATTCCGCTCCTGTGCCATGGGGAGGAGGGGCTGGGCTTCCGAACCAGCGGACACTGGAAGTCCGCGCCTCATGTCTCTGGCTTCCACCGAACAGGCTACCCCGTGGCTTTCTGGCGACAGCTCTTTGCTGAGGCCGTGCGGTACTGCGACTCTGACCCTTGCTGGCCCAGGACCCACCTTCACTGTGGCACCCACCCAGCCTGGGCCCCCGAGAGTCACTGCAGTGCAAGCGCCTGCCACTGGGCCTTCGTCTCCAAGACGCCCGCCCGCCTGCAGTAAGCGTGCCGCTGGCCACGTGACTAAGGAACCGGGCCCTTCCGCCAAGCCTGGCTGACGAGCAGGGGCCCCATGCTCCTTCCCACACGTTAACTCCCCAGTGTGTTTTCAGCTCACCCCAGCGTGCACCTGCAAACACCTGGCCCCAGGAAAGGCAGAACGCTGGACTCACATGCTGTCGTCCACTGTCCCGTGGCCCCGGTGTGTGTGAGTGATAAACCCTTGTGTTCAGAGCGCGGTGATGGCTGCAGCAGCCTTGCAGCCGCATCCAAACCGCACGGGCTGGGCCCCAGGGAAAGCGTGGGGCCGCCTCAGGCCCGGGAGAGGGCAGCTAACACTCCAGGTAGCAGCGTCAGGGCCACAGCCCGGATGGAAATTACAGGCACCCGCGGGACCTCCCCTACCTTCGCAGGAGAGTCAGACGGCAGAGCAGAACCAGGCTTGGGCCTGGCCGGCCCCGCCCCTCCCTGGCCGCTGACCTAAGTGGTCCTTCCTGTGTTCTTCACTGTGGCCAAGCGGCTCAATCTCTAAACCCTCTCTTGTCTCCCTGCTCTTCCTTCCAAGAATTTTCGAGGAGGACTTCATCCTGACGGCCATGTCGTGACCGCTGTCATCTACTCTCAGCCGCTCCTGCTCAGTGACTCTGGCTGGTTCTCTTCTGGCTTCATGGGACAGCAGTCGACTGGACGTCATTGTTCACGCACCGCGCTCTGCTGCCGCTTTTCCCTCAGGCTGCAGGCACTGAGCGGGCACTGAGTGGGCACTGAGTGGGCATTCACCTCAAGCCCTAGAGCCTCTGTGGTGGCTTGAACCCGGGACCGCTGGATGCCGTCGTTCCCTTTGTAATGGCCCTTGCTGCGCGCCCCTGGCCCTTGCTGGGTTCCAAGGAGGCTTTCGCTGAGAGGTGTGGCGCCTCGACAAGGAAGCGCTCCCTAAAACAGGGCCGCAAAGCGGCCAACCGAAGCACACTCAGTGGGACTGTCTCCTCAGCCTGCCTCTGCGGAAGCCCTGCAAGCTCCTGGGGGACAGCACTTACCTCTCGGGGTGCAGAGTGCTGCCGCAAGGGGCCTTCTTCTCCATGCCAAGGGAGCCCTCAGTGGTGCTGGCGCTGCAGAGAGCGAGGCGGAGAGCGGTTGGCGGTGGGAGCCAGGTCACAGCAGTCTTGGCGGGGAGCTGGAGTTTGCTCTTACCTGCCACAGCGTGAAGATGGCGGCTTCCCAGAAGACACCTCGCTGGCGCTTGTGTACTCCTTCACAAAGAGGACGCCCTTGCTGGAGAAGCACAGAGGGGTGGAGTGGCAGACTCAAGGGGCTGGCCTGCCCCTCAGCAGTGGCCCTGCCCAGGGTCCAGGACTGGGAGGGCCTTTCCTGACTTGAAGGATGGGGGAGCTGGTGGGGTGGCTGGGGGTGGAGGTGCTGGCGCCCCAGGCAGCAGCGGACAGGACTGCGATGCTGGGAGCGCCACCGTGGAGGTGGGTGCCGCTGAGGCCGTCCCGAGGCCACACGGAGCGGCAGAGCGGCCGAGGACACACATGTGCAGGACGCTGCTGTGAGAGCCACGGCTTGAACGTCCAGACCCATCAGAACAGTGCTCAACTACCCCACAGGCCACCTAGACGCCCAAGAAAGTTCCACAGCTGCTGCCTCAGAGACCGCGGCGTGGGCAGGCCTGACAGCCGCCGGGGCGGGGCCCGCCCGAGGAAGTTCACAGCGCGTTTGCTCGGGGAACGGCCACTGCAGTGCCCATCCGGACCCCGCGCGGCAGCGCGCTGCCCCTGGCTGTGGCAAGGGTATCCCAGCGGTGTGGACCTGGGAGTGTTGGTGCGACCAGCAGCCTCCCTGTCCAGCAGCCAGCGCCCTCCCCACCTGGGTACCTCCTCACAGACATCCACTGTGTAACAGGCAGAGGTGCCCATGTGCCCCCAGCCAGGCCTGCCAGGCTGCAGAGCTCGCAGGGTGCACCTGCCTTGCAGACTTCAGCTGGGGCTATGCGCTGGGCCTGCGGGAGTCGCCCTGGAGAAGGTGGCGTCTGCCTCACCGATGCACACATGCCAGGGCAATGGGCATGCATGCTGGCTGGGCCCCGGCTCGCAGAACTGGCCCCTGCTCACCGGCTCTTACCTGCCAGCCCAGTCGTCCAGCTCCACGAGCGTCTCGGGGCCCCCGGGGCAGCACTGCTTCTCCTTCTCAGGGGCGCTGGTGTCCTCAGGCCCCGGGGTGAGCACGGCCGGGCGATCCGGGCTGCCTGTCGGGGCCACGGGCCTCTCCTGCCAGGTCTCTCGCACCTCAGGGCCCACGATTTTCTCCTCAGAGGCAGGAGAGGGGCTGCGGGAGAGAAGCACACTCGTGGGCCAGGCTGCCTCCCTCTGGGCTCCCCCTAAGCACACGGATGAGCTGGTGCTCAGGGGATGTTCGTCAGAGTGGCCAGGCTAACGCCGCACCCGAGGCTCATTTGGCCTCCAGTTGAAAATCCTGCCCAGCCCTGGGCAGTGCCACTGTCACCTTGCGAACACCTGTGGTTAAGGGTGGCCGGGCCATCGTCGATGATCCCAGGACTCCCAGCCCAGCTGCCAGCCCTCTGGGCCTGAGGAGAGCTGCCTGCAGCCCGCATGTCCTTCCATCCCACTTGGCCTGCACAGGCTCCTCACCCAAGGGCTGGCCTTCCTCGCCCATGCGCCACTCCCTGGGGCCTTGTTCCCCTGGGCAGGGGTACCTTCCTTGGGAAATCAGCTCTGGCCGAGTCTGGTTACCCAAACAGTGAGGCCGGCTGAGGGGCAAGGGCGGGAGTCGGGCTGTCCTATCCCCTCCTCTGGCTGCCGTGGCCCCTTCCTGCTCATCCTCCAGCCCCTGTCCATCTGCCAGCCTGGGAGTGATGGAGGAAGGAACAGAAGGAGGCATCCGGGACTGGCTCAGCAGGGGGTGGGGTAGGAGGGATGAGCACGGCCACTGGCCAGCTCCAGAAAGCCAGCTCCTGGGGCGCACCAGACCCCCCCGCCGGCGGCAGCAGGTGCTGCGGGCGGCGCCTACCCCAGGCCCGCTGGGCTCCACCGACGGCGCG